ACTCTTTCCTACTTTAGTTGATCACCTTAGCAATGTGGACCCCAATTTGATTCTGTGTAAATTTCTTATAGAAAGTGTAGCAATACTCAAACGCAATGTAATAAATTTGACCAAATCCCAATTACGTATAGAAGGTCAATCATAAAAGATTTAGATTAAAAGAGGAACAAAAATAGCATTGAAAATCATGGGGCATCGCACCGATAAAAGAGAAAGCATCACCAATAAGTTTTTGCTCGCTAAAAAAACTCGCATTCAACCAGAACGCAAAAATTTGAGAGAAAACTTACAATTTTATTCTCTAATTCATCAAATGATATGGACCCCAAGGGCCCCATTTATAAGTCAAAAGACAAAATTAGTTATTTCTCAAAATACTCCAAATCTAGCCAAAAATGTTTTCCGAGAACTTTGCGGAACACTAGCGACCTTGCCAGCTAAAGCCCGGTTAGAACGCATCACCAACAAGAGAAAGCATCACCAACAAGTTCGTAGCTCTGTCGATACTGTCTGGCATTGCTTCTATTTTTTTAATTTATTATATTTATAATTTATTTTTATGTTTTAATAAGAAAAATAATATTTAATGTCTTCCGAGTAATTTGAAATTAAAAAAAAAATAAAAATAAAAATAGAAAATCCCTATCAAATGTCCCTGTAAGGGTTCTCAACAAGGATTCTTTGAGCTCCAAATAGAAATCGTCACCCTCACACGAACCCTTCACCTACACCTCGTCTCCATCATCAGCTATTGGGAAGAGCATTTAAAGAGGATTATGGCATAGTTGTATTTATTATGGCCACTGAAATTTTGACTATGGGTTGTAGTTCTGAATAGCATAGTTGAGGATGTAGCCTTTTGAGGATATTCGGATGGTGGCTAAGTCATAGACTGTGGTGTTGGCATCAATGAGGAAGTTGGCATCAACGAAGATGGATCTGGCGAAGAATTCGTTGGCAAGGAGGTGAAGTAGATGGCGAAGATTGGATGGATACAAAAGTGGAGGAGTTAGGAGGGACCCTATTTTATGTTTTTCTATTCTTTATTTAAAATTATTTTCTTTCCTAAGTTAGGTGAGATATGTTTGGCAAGTTTGTAAATATGGAGGGACAGGTTTCCTTGTGTGTGTACCCTATTTGTGAATAATTAAGAAAAATAATTTTCCTTCCCCAATAACTTCTACTGTTTTCAATCCAAAGGCTCAATTATAAAGGCAAAACTACTAAAAGATTTCAACACCAATATGTTAACAACAATATTATTTAACTATTTCACGTAATACTAAACTAAATATTCCCATGTGCCTTAAGACTTAATATGGAAGACAATCAAAACTGAAGGGAATAAATAAATATCTTATAACATCAAGAAAGTGGTAGGATCTAATATGATATATTATTCATTTGCTCAAGCCATATAAAAATGTTAGAAGCTTCCAAAGAGCGTGGGGCTAGAGCAAATTTGAGAATGGTCATGTGGAGCAAAATGTTAATGATTAGCTAGATGGAGAAGTAGATGCAAAGATGGATCAGGAGAACGAAGGCAGACAAATGAGAGGCATATGTTGGCAGTTCCAACAGATGTCTTGAGCTTCCTCTTTCAAGCTATAATCATGTTGATTATATGTAAGATGTCTTTGCTCTAAACAGTCGTCCTCATTCGTTTATTTAGATTAGAGTTCGTGAAGGGTTTTGCATGCTCTAAGATATTTGAAGTTCTTTCCAGTAAGATTTCACCATGGAGTCTCCTTAAGCATTTATGCATGATTCTATGTGAATTTCCTTATAGTTCTTGTTTTCCTCCAAGTCGATTACATACGAATAAGTTGACGCATCAAAGCATTTTGCACAGCGATGATCTGATGATAGAGTTGATGTCAACTCTTATTATGGAAGTGAGCGCATTGTCCTCATCAACTTTGCCACCTATGTCTATTGAAGGCGCAAGAAGTCCTCTAGACCACAATATGGTAAATATGATTGGATGATAGGGGTCATAGAAAAAGGGTAGCTCCACCTCAGCAGACGTCTTCATCGCATGCTAAAGAGGCACACTAACGTGTCTACATGGATATTTAGAGGTTT